CTAACTTCCTGACGGTGGCGACTTTCTCCTCCAGTTGACCCGCTTCAGACTCCTCATACCAGAGAGGTGGAGGAGGGGCTGTGTAGAGCGACAGCTCGTCCAGGTTTACCGAGGATGTCTCTTCTTTTTCTCCGTTACCGGCATCATTAGCCGCGGAAACGGTGAAAGGCAGGAAACTCGAGGCTCCCGGCATGACTCTACCCGTCACCTTCAACATGAACCCTGAGGGCCATATGCACTGCCTACGGAATCCGCCGAGGGACAAGACTGACTGGCGCCGCATCTATGATTTTTTTCTAAACAGAAAAACCCGCCAAAAAAGTGACAATGCTGTTATAAACATATTTATATATTCTATATGCTCAGACATTCTCCCTCTCCCACAATTAGTTCATTTAATTAAATGTATGGATTAATTCAAATTGTATTGAAAGGGACACTGCTAATTGCGTGAATATGACCAAATTAACAAAGCATCTAAATATTTGAATAAAAACAGGAAAAATGTTACCTGTTACTATCAATGTATATATAATATATATCAAAGCTACATATATTTAAAAAAAAAAAGATCAATAGTAGAAAATTACATGTATATGGGTGTAAAACACTAAATAAAATAACATTAAAAAAAGAAGTAGTGTTCTTTTGATATTAAATGTGACATCAAGCTGGTTCATGTGGTACCATTAAAATATGAGATTTAAAAAAAAACTATACATGTCCACTGCTTTATTATGTATGGTTAGTTACTAATATGTAACTATTTATGTTTTAGAACGGTGATTAAATTAAACTATTTAAGGTACATATCCTTAAAATTTAAGATTTTATACATATTTTCTAAATTGGACTTTTTTTTTTACTTTCAGGTCAATGTCTCTAGTTACCATGGCAGCCGGTCTCCATGGAGACAGAAAACAACAACACCAACGGTTCGAATTCTAGTTAGCATGCTAATCAGCTGTTTTGTTGTTTTTTTTTTTTTTTTTTTTAGCTTCATAAGGTTATAAGTAATTTTATCGTTAATTTTTAAGCAACGGTAGTTAGCTTAAAACCGAAGTACAAGCGTATTATATGCAGTAGTTGCAGTTTTAAGTCAGTTTTTTCTTATTCTCTTATTGTTATGGAATGTCTCGGAGTATCGTCTTACCAAAACTTACAGGCTTTGTCTGCGCTGTTATCAACTCAGCAGGAGGAAGATGAGGATGAAGAATGTAAAGTAAGATTATTCACAAACACAAATAAACAGTATGAGGACGTTTATTTAAAATAGGTAGTTTTTTTATGTAATTATTCCATAAAGGTAATGTCTGGGTGTAGTAGAGTTGAATAATTAAATTGGGCTTATTTCAGCAAAATGAAACAGCCTATGGACAGCTTGGTCCTGGCCATATTGGTCCCCCTCCTAAAAAAGAAAAAGAAGGTATGTGCACTTGTTTATCTTGGTTAAATTTATTTTGAACAAGAACATGTTAAAAGCTCAAACTGGCTTTCTGCTGATTTAGTGTCTACTGCCTACACAAAGAAAATCAGTAAGGATATCTGGAGTGAGGAGGAGGTGGCTGAGGGCTCTCAGTATGATGATCTGGCTGACCCGAGACCACAACCTGAGTAAGACTGAGGAGGAAAAACCTGTAGTGGTGCTGCCTTCATTCTAGTTAGAATACAACACAAAGGCTTCACGGTGGATTGCAGCAAGAAAATCCTAGGTTTTAATCTTGGCCTGGGTTCTTCTCCCTGTGCATGTGTTTGTTTTCACCCACAGTCTAAAAAGATGACTGTTAGATTAATTGGTTACTCTAAAATTGCCCATTGGTATGACTGCAAGTGTGTCTAGTTGTTTGTCCTGTGTCTCTTTGTAGGATAAGAATCCAAACTGTACAACAAAATTGATTCAAAAAATTGTTTTCAAGGATAGACAGTATTCAAAAAGAGATTGTACAAATGCCTCAACAGTTACACATATGCTGATTTTAACAGTTTGCCCTTAATGCATTTCGCAGAAAAATATTCTAAATTTAAAAGTTGGATTCCCTGTAATTTTCAGCACGAAATTATTTTACATCGATAAAAGTTGCTTTCATTTTAAAGTTTAATAATCTTTACCAGAAAATTAAATAAGTGATGTCATTTTCCTCATACTATGATAATGTGCAATTTTCATGTGTATTCCGATATGACTTGATACAGGTATGAAATTATCCTGAAGCAGAGTGTTGGAACAGAGGATTTGTTCCTGGGCTTAAGCCAGAAGGATCCATCTTCAATGTGCTGTGAAGCCATGCTGGTAATTTATTAAGTATCAAGCAAGTTGTTCACTGAAGTTAATCAACTTTTTTCACATTGGAAAACATCTGCAAGCATTTGAATAAAGACAAAGATAAACACAAAACCAAATGCAGTTTAAAAGTAAGTTTAAAATGTTAAAGGCATCGGGAGCTGCATTTTATTTGGAAGACCTGACATTGTGATTTTATTGTTCAATAGTGCGATGACAATACAGATTGAAATTAACCCACACTTTCCTCACTTTTCTTTTTCTCCTCTATCAACACAACTAAAGAATAGAGAAAGTCAAAATAAAACTTTCTCTGCATCCGAGCTGTCCTTTATTGGGAAAAAACTGAAATCCATTATAAAGTGCATGTCTAATATAGGAACAGAAATCTTATACAGTTTCAGAAGGTATGGAACATGATTTAAGTGTTTTCCAGGTCTAGATATATGGCCTCAGAAATTAAGAGTATGGAAAAATATGTGTATTTCTAGACTTAATTTCCAATACCATTGTCTATGCATCCTCCCTCCAGTCCTTCCTTCTTTGTTTCATTTCTTACTTTTCTTTCCTTCCTTATGTCTTCACTTACAGAGTTATGCCAAACATTCATAGAAAATATAGCTAACATGATTGTAGATATTTGCTCAAAAGATTTGTTTATACTTTTGAAATGATTATTGGTATAAACTGGGACTATTTAGGATATTAGAGCAATATTAATATTTTTTCGTACCCTTAGGTTAAAATAAAACTACCCGACACAAAGGCAAAAGATGTCTTCTTGGATTTAAAGGAGAAGTACCTGGATCTGCGGACTCCAAAGTAGTAAGAGCGGTTTTGAAAATCTTGTCTTTTATTTTTGATCTCATAAGGAGAAGCTGCTGCTCATGCTCACATCTCGGATCTTCAGACATTTTACTTTAATCAGTGTTCCAGATCTTGACCTGAGCTTCAAGTGCAGCTCTTAACATCCTCCTCAACCACTTAACATCTCTCTCCTTCTCACATCATTGCTTTCACTTGTCGCTCCTTTCTTTTTTCTTTTTAGTAAACTGGGTCTCCATCTGCCCCATCCCATCCAGAATCAAGAGGGCAAGGCTCAGTTCTTTAGCGACAGGCAGGAACTGGAGGTGACTCTACTGATGAAGTGACCCATGGACTGTATCAACATGCAGTAAAAGAAGGATAAAGAAATTATTTCAGCTTTAAGGTAAAGCTGAAATAATTCCCACCACTTTCTTGGGGGGAAAGTTAGGATTGCACACACTGGCTTGTTTGATGCCTGAAAACAATGACGGAAGTAAATCCGATTTATTTCTGTAAATTTTTAATTAAATCTGGGCTCTTTTCCATATGCAATCTCTGACTTCATAAGAAAAAGTTATAATAAATGTTTTCTGTGCTTCAGTAGTTCTGCTCTTGTTTTAATTTCCTTTCTATCATGTCTGTAGAGAAAAAGTAAAATAACTTTTTAAATTGAGTATTGGTTATTTAGATAACACAGTGCCCTTTTTATAGTGATTTAGAAGTTAGACTTGATTGACTTGAAGCGAAACATTAAAGTATGGAAATATAGGAACAAGAAAGCAACATCAAAAGAAAAGCAGTATTTGTCAAGACCTGAGTTTCCCAACTTTCTAGTTTCTGACCCATCTTTGCAACAAACACACCATGCTCTAAATGTACTCTGCAACGTTTTCACTTTTTTTTTTGTCAGATTACAAACAAAAATGTTAGTGTATTTTATTTTGTTTTTTTATGGAAAAGGCCAAGATGCATGGTTTTTAAATGTTTTTACAAATGAAATACAGCCACTCCGACTGAGTCAGTACTCTTTAGGACTACCTTTGACTGAGCTACAAGTCAAAAGTCTCTTCAAGGTCTGCACATTTGGACTGAACTTTTTGTCCATTCTTGTTTCAGTAATAGCTCAGTAAGTTTGGATGGAGAGCATCTGTGTTGTAAGACATATCCTGTTACAATAATTGGTTACAAGTAATCAAATTAAGTTTATCCAAGTTAGTTTAAGTTGTCAAGTTAAGTAAAGTTAAGTTAAGTTTGACAAACTTCATTCACTTGTACCAATCAAATTTTTTTTAACAATTATAGCTGTGTTAGGGAAAAATTATTTTACTAAAGCAAGTTACAGTATAGTAATAGGTAACCTAATGCATCAGCAGGTATTAACTGATGCATGGTAGGTTTAATGCGTCCTGTTGCTAATGTCTCCATGTTGTCCTCAAAGAAATCGACTATAACCTCATGATTTTCAAATACTTTAATATTGTTTATATTCACAAAAATCCTAAATTAATACAACTCATATGATTTTGGGTGTCCGTAAAATTAATAGGCCTAATGAGCCTAATTGGGCTTATGAAAGAGAAAAGAAAAGAAAAAAACTCAAAACACTGGGGCCCGATTAAATAAAGAAATGTTGCTTTTTACTGAGTCATGTTTTCTACTCTCTTCAGTTCATCCATTCATTCACTATATACACTTCTTGCAGGATCGTGGAGGGGCTGGCGCTTATCTCCAGCAGTCATTGGGTGAGAGGTGGCTACACCCAGGACAGTCCACCACAGTCGCTTAAAGTCATATTTCTAGGGATCACCCTAACTTTGGGGAATGCCCCCTTCACCTCTATAAATGGAAAAAAATATTTGTGTCTCATATATTTCTTAGCTGACCTATAACAACAATAATCAGGGAAGTCACGATAAGTAAATAACAGAAGCATAATGCGCCTGACCTAATGTTATTATCAGGGAACATCTCTCTGAATCATGCCCGGTGAGAGCAGTGCCACACCCTCGGGCATCGTTACCGCAGCAGCACCGGTACCGGGTGCTCTGGGTTGGTGTTGGTGGGTGGGTGTGATCATGTGACGCCTTCATTTCCGAGACAACAATACCACACCGAATCGGTCTGCATCGTCTCTCCCGCTCTCTCTCTCTCTCTCTCCCTCCTTACCTGCGCCTCGCTCTCGGTATGGCGGACGGCGAGAGGTCCCCGTTGCTCTCAGATTTGGGGGATGGTGCTCTTGGCAGCGGTAACGGCGGGGTTTCTCCCGGCGCTGGGTCCTACAGTGTGCCCAACAAACCAGAGGGTGAGTGTGCAGGGTGATGCATCCTCTGTCCTGACTCCAGCCTATGTTAGCCTAGCTTACCATAGCCTCTAGAACTGACTGGGCATTACGGTTAGCCTGCTAGCTTCACTATGACAGGGACTAATTGTGGAGGGTTTATGTTGCTTGATAAGAATATTGTACATAATAGCATCTAATGAACACACTCCCTCTGATAAATTGTGTCGTTTTATAGAATTTATATGAACCAGGTAACCGTTGTATTATTAGCCTAAATTATGCTAACTCTTTAGCATAATTAACTGTTTGCTAAGCTTTATCGTGAACCAGTTTTAATGACACTATTAAAATGAATATTTTTGGGGGCATACTGTTATTTTGAACAGTTTATTTTAGTCAAATGTAGTCAATGGCTGTCTAAATAGAAGAAATGCTAGTGGTTGGCTAACATCCTAGAAACACCTGATTTGATTGACAGGAGGAAGTGACTACGGATGCTGCGGAGGGATGCTGCGACCAATCATAACTCCCAGGAAAAGCATTTAAATATTCAAAGAGAGATTAGATTTCACTTTTCACTAGTCTCTCAGCTTTCTCCGAATAAAAAAAAAAATAGAGCAGATAGTTTTGCATGCTTTTATGTGATTTCTAGGTTAAGCTGTTCCACACACTGTGGTTTAGCTTTTGCTAATACCCAGACTCTCATGTGTTGAAACCGGCTCTGCTCCGCATTCCAAGAGTGTTTTTCTACTAAAGCTCCTTTCTGCTGAACTCCAGGCCTAATCTCATTATCTTGTTTGCTGTAATGGGTTACTTGTCATGAGAGTCTTTTTTTTCCCAGTCCTACTGCATTTCTCTTGTGACTTCCAACAATCATGCATTTGTCACACATGCATTACTACTCTTATATTTTGTATTCTATCCTCCTTGTTCAGGTTTTCCCCCTTTCCCCAGTGCCAGTCAGCCCTCGGTACTTCTAGGGGAGGACCCTCCACCCTACTCCCCACTCGCCTCCCCGGAGAGCGGAAATGCCCCTGTTATCAGCTGCAGGGTGTGTCAGAGCCTCATCTCTGTGGAGGGGAAGATCCACCAGCACGTGGTGAAGTGTGGAGTTTGCAATGAAGCTACGGTGAGTTACTCCAAAAGAGTGTACAGCTAAATATGCAAAAAAAAAACTTGGACATACAAAATAGAGGCACCAACTATTAGATATGTCATCACAAATTAGCTTAGATCTCAGTTTACCACAGATTTATTGAGGAGATTGCACTGTTTGTAAATCTGACTCAGGGTCTGCACTCAGTTCCAATTTGTTGAAAAGACTTATTTACAGCACTGTCTCCACCATACCATTGTTTTCATTTCTGTCCTCCTTATTATTCTCACTCAAACCTTTTGCTAGAATTTTCAGCAGAATTGAAAATGTCAGAAAAATTTAAATTAAGGTCATTTCCAAATCTGGATAAGAAGGAAAAAACAGT